AATAATAATACAAGACAGCAGTGAGTCAACCTTTAGTTATCACATCTAGAATAATTTTCATACATCAAATGAGAGAATAAGAAATGAAACATTTATCAATGTCCATTGAATATCTGATCCTTGAATCGAATGACTCACGGATCATCGGCCCTGCGAACAATTCTGTATCACCGCCGAGCATAATCACGTTTCCAACATCCTCGAGGATTCCCCGAGCCCGACGGTTCTTTTTACATCGGCGGATCTGTCGAACGAGAGATCCAATGGAATGCACCGTAGAAGGTAGGAAACGACGTCGGCGCGAGCCTGGAAACGATCGGTATCGCGTGTGACTCATGGAACAGAGCGTTCTTTTCGCGGCGACGCTTTCAATTATCGACGATGCTGGAATTTATATGCGCTATCGGAAGCGCAAGAAATGCCTCCCATCCGCTTTTTCCGCCGACTCGGACGTCTGCTCGCATGCCTCCGCGTCTTCCATGCCTCGCTTCTCTGTGTCTTATTGTTCCCTCGCTAAGAACCATCTTAAGTTACACGCGGTTTATTATACCGAGTTAAAACCGTTTATCAGAATCCACTTATAACCATCTGTACAATCTACAATTATAATAAAAATTTCACGGCCGAACAAGCTAACGCATTTAGCAGTTTCATCGTAAAGAATCCGCTCCGCTTGGAGAATGGCAAGAATAATTTGCACAGGTATACAGAAAATCGTCTGTAGCGTGGATTTTCGTTTTACGAGATAAAGATTGCTCCTCTAGAAACACTTTCGCGACGCTTAGATCGGCGTTTCTCTGGCGCGAGCTTTGAGCCGGCTAAACGGGCGAGAGAGAGGAATACCCGTCGACTCGGTGTAAGTAGCAGCGCGGTCGTAAAGGGGAAGAGAGCTTGACAAGAAATGTGCTTCGCAGAATCGCTCCGAGGCCAATTCCCAGTGAGAAACGAAAAAAATTATGCTAATGCCGGCACGGGTTTGACGCGATCACGTTCCAGTGGATTTCTTGCCTCGGCTCTGTGAACCACTTCGGCTTTATTACCTCGCCCGCTTCCGAAGAAGCCGGAGCGTATCCGCGAAGGGTAACTCGATTGCCGGCGTTGTTTCCCATCACCCATCTGCTCCACGTTCTTCACGATGCAGAATAGACCTCCTAATGAGTTTCTTTTAAGATCACTTCACGATCGATCTCGCTTCGGTTCATAGCAATTTTATAAGCCGTGAACGTGTTCGCGCTTCGTCACTATCGATCCACTAAAAACGTTATTGATCAACACGCTAATGGCATTGAACAAGAACAATTGTCAATTATTATAAGTTCTATTGCACGTTTCGTGCTTCGTACGGTTTCATTTGTTTTATCACATTCATGTTTCTTGCCAAGGGGTAGCACAATGTTCAATTTATTTCTTACTCTATGGCATGCGTCTGGAACCAAACAGGTTTTTAGACGACCAATGGGTAATGCGTCATATTTATAAATCTCATTACGCTTAATACGTTTCTGTACGCTGACAATCCACCGGACGCGTCGCCCACTTGCGCGTGGGTGTCCTCAGACCAGAAACACCGTGGCGTATTTCATTCCTACCGAAAGACGAGGTAAACCGCGGAATCTCCGATTCTTCATGGACGGGTCAAGGGTTAAACTTCACGGATTACATAGGAAGTACAGTTCGTGACGAGAGCGCGTATATTTCGCTCTCGGTTGCTCGTATCGTAAATCACATCGCGTGCACGCGGTTCCATTAAATCGGGTCACCTCATGCAGTTATAAGAGCATTTCCTTGATCAAGACACGGGCGAGGTACACGGATAGATTGTTTTATGCAGTTTTCAGTCTCGCGTTTGATTCCCACGTCGACATGAAAATTGAAGGCTGCTTCGAGTGTTCGTGAGTAGTCGTCGATTAAACGCGGTCGTTCGGATGATCTAAGAAGGGACGAACCCCAAAATGCGAACACGCCCTTCTGAAATGTATTGACCTTCGCAGCAGGACCCTTTGGGTGATCTTAAATATAAAGATTGGTCGTCTGATCAAATTTCATTAATTTATGTGACAGATCGAATATAGGAAACAATTATTTATTATTCAAGATAAAAGTTTATCTAAAAGAATTGAATCGCGAAGATGTTAAATTTAAGAATCTTACGATTCTCGAAAGAGGACGAACGTGTGTACGAAAAAGCTGGAGTCACGGTTCCCAGGCTCGTGGCAATAAATCCAATCACGTGTGAACAGCGCATGAATCGCGTTACCCACAGAGAAGAAATCCTAGCCAGTGGTACATTATCTCCTCGATTCTATCCCGTGTTATTTACGCGACGCATTCGTCACGGCGGATAGACTTTCGTCCCGTGAGGAACGCGGTACCGTATTGAGACCCGCGTAAACGTCCGAGCCACGAACTGGCTGACCTCCTTCGACTTTTTCCACTTTGACTCTTTTCACGTGCGCGCATGCCGGCAGGCGGTCGCGTGTCACGCTTTATCGCGCCTCTCCTCTCGTCTCGACGTTCACGTGCTGACCTCGGCCACTCTTCAACTCGCGAGCCACCAACGAAAATCGTTTATATTTAGAAATAGTTAAAATTCAAATTAGTTTCTTGTGTAATGAATAAGATTTGAAGAAAAAATTTATATATTATAGAATCTTCTGAAATTTTCATTGAAAAGTTTCCACGGATTTCTATTGTTAATTTAAAAAATGAAATCTAGATTGAAAATTCAGAATTATGACGTGCACTATATTATATTCTTTACATTTATTGCAGACCTGATTTGGCATAAATTCATCTGCAGTCTAATTATAACAGATGTGATATAAAGTACAGATAACGAGAGCTTAGTAGATTTAACGTTTGTTAGTCGAATCAAGAAGACTGCGATTGGAATTAATGTTGGGAACATTTGTTCTGGTAATAAGAACTGAACAATTACTCTTATCTCGTCGTGTACCAACGTTATTTAGTATTGAAGTTAAATATAGATATCATATCTACTATTTTCTAGGCTGAAATTTCACCATTGTGACTTTACTCCTTGACTCATACCTGAAAATATCTCTTCTTCGAATTCTGCAGCATTTTTAAATGTTGCTCTTATCGTTCTCAACCCCTAATCCTAGTATTTCTGCCCTTACAAATCCTAATGTCCCTCATTATCTATATTTTACTGAAATCCATATTTTATCTCGCTTTCCTTCAACTCTTTCAGTATAAAATTGTAAACTAACAGAATATTCCAAAATTCCTTAATAAAGATTAGAGCAATCTGTCTAATAAATCAGTGCAACGATCTCTGAGTTACGCGGAAGTGAGGACAGTGCAAACAATTTGGTGACGCGCTCGTCACAGTGAACAGTCTCTGCGATTACATATCTTGACACAATTTCTCGTATCTCGCGATAGCAATGAAAGGCGCGTGAATTTACACAAATTGGCATCGCGGACGATAAATATTTCAGGTGACACGCACATTCTAGATATCGTACGACGTTTGCAAAGAATAAATCGGTGATTCTCTAGTCACGTGTGAAAGTACCATAGGAATCCAGTGCCCGAGCCGGTCCCCTGACCTTTGGTTCTGACTGTTCAGCGAAACGGCAACCGTACAGTGTACGACTTTAACTTCCCACGTCAGCATGAACGCAAGATTAAATTCGACGTGGTATAAAATTGAATTTTAATGAAACGCGATGAATAATATAATGTACGTTCGGTATTTGAGATTTTTAAGTCGGTTCCAGTGTAGAGGTTGTACGAATAAAATTGAAACTAGTATCGCGTTCGTTGGTCTCGAACGCTGTACGTATGTAAAGTTGATTCACCGGCATCTCAGCGCGATTTAATGCCGAAGCTCGTCTTCAATAAGGTCAGGACCCAGTTACATACCCTCGATCCTCCATTCCCAAACCATTTAAAACACACTACGTTACTTTACAAAAAAATTATAATAGTAAATAGGAATTCACGGTCTGATTCTCTCTTAGAGTCGTTAAAATAAATAAATTACCTCTCTCGGAATTCCGTCACGTTCAACGATATAACAATCGGAATTGCGTTTCTCCCGTGTGTGTGTGTTTTATTACTTTCATCAGCATCGTCATCATCATCTCGTGTACCGCGAGGAGCCCGCGGGAATGATTACTTAGGTAGAAAAGTGGCAGGCCCAGCTGACCGGGTACGGTTTCTTGCAGGATGACGAGCCACCGGAAATCACGTATTGCGTCGTGGAGCACACGGGTACGCTCACGCTTCAAGCGATGACGCCCACCCTCCCGATGCCGGCCGAGGAGGAGCTGAACAAGATGTTCCTTGAATTGGTCGACGAGCTGGACCTGACCCAGGCCAACCGGCAGGCGGTTCTGGCACTTCCGGCGAACAAAAAGTGGCAGATATATTGCTCCAGGAAGGGCAACGGCACGCTGGAGAACGGCGGCCTCAGAACCACCGACCTCAGCGGCGATCCTGAAGATTATATCAACAGACTGAAAACCATAGCAAGTGTACGTAGTATTGAACGACTCAATTACACCTCGGTTATAATTATATAANAAATTGTGAAATCTGCAGAGTCCTTTTCCTGAAGAAGGCGAAGAAGTCTCGAACCAAATGCGGCAAACGGAGGCCCTGAAGACAGCTCTGAGGACACAGCCACACAGTTTCGTATTGAGATTCATAGAACTCGATGGGCTGAACGCTTTATTGCAAGTCCTTGGAACTATGGACGCAGAGGCGGCTAACAGCAATCTTCACACGAGCGTGATAGGCTGTTTAAAAGCATTGATGAATAATTCGGTGAGTTTCGTTTTTAAATAAAATACGATAATTTATAGATACGATTAGATACGATTTTAAATAAAATACGATATATATCGATAAAATCAATATTGATTAAATGGCTTGCGTCATTCATTTATCCGGTTATCAATTGATTTTCAGAACGGGAGGGCACACGTCTTGGCGCACCCGACGGCCATCAACACGATCTCCCAGTCGCTGGCGACTGAAAATATTAAAACGAAAATATCAGTTTTGGAAATCCTAGGCGCCGTTTGTTTGGTACCAGGCGGTCATCGGAAGGTCTTAGAAGCTATGTTGCACTTCCAGCAGTATCACTCCGAGCGAACACGGTTCCAGAGTATAATAAACGACTTGGATAAGAATTTCGGAATCTACAAAGACAACCTGTCGCTGAAAACAGCGATCATGTCGTTTATTAACGCCGTGCTGAACTACGGACCGGGTCAAGTTACTCTGGAGTTCAGACTGCATTTAAGATACGAATTATTGATGCTCGGTATTCAACCGATCATCGAAAAGCTCAGGAAATACGAGAACGAGACGCTGGACAGGCATTTGGATTTCTTTGAAATGGTGAGGAACGAAGATGAGAAAGAACTGGCTAGGAAGTTTGAAAAGGAGCACGTGGACACGAAGAGTGCCACAGCTATGTTTGATTTACTGAGGAGGAAGCTCAGTCACACCGCTGCCTACCCTCATTTATTGAGCTTACTAGAACACTGCCTCTTACTACCACGTAAGATTTTTTTTGTTCATTAAAAATTCTCAAAAATATCTGCTGCATATTTCTATTTATGTATTATTGCAAATATTTATAATAAACACTTTGATTAAATAATCAAACTCGATGTTCCAGTCGATTATGGCTCGCATCCGCAGCACTGGTTGCTGTTCGACCGGATCGTGCAGCAAATCGTTTTACAATCGGAAGGAAACGAGTCAGGCACTACCAGAAACCCTGACGTTGCGCCTATCGAGATCAACGTGAAGGAGATCGTGCACTTGCTGGCAAAGGAAGAGGAACTGGTCGCGGCCAGGAAGAAGGCGGAGGAACTGGAACGGGAGAACTCGGACATGTCTACGAGATTGGCCAAGAAGGAACAAGAGCTGGATTTGAGGACCCAAGAGAAAGTAATTAATGCCGCTCGCCAAATCGAGATCGATCTTGTGACACAGTTCTCTCTTCTAGGAAGACATAGAGGCGAGCTTGGCGAGGGTGAAGGAACGTTTGGAGAAGGAGACGTCGATGCACATTGAGACCAAGCAGAGGATCTCCGAATTGCAGGACAACCTCGAGGCGTTGTCTCGACAGATAAACAACGAGAAGTCGGAGAGAAAGCGGTTGGAACAATTGGTCGCTTCCGGGAGTCTGCCGGACGATGCCAAGGCGACGATTAAGATCGTGGAGGATGAGATTCTCGAAAAGGTTGAAGCGAAACCGATGCCACCGCCGCCGCCGCCTCCACCCTTGGCGCCGCCGCCACCCCCGTGCTTGATGCCAACTGCCCCTCCTCCGATGAAGGTACATCAATTATAAAACAGTATAGTAAATGTCCCAGTTTCTATTCACTGGCTTAAGGTTCCATATAAAACTATAAGAAGAGAAACAGTGAATAGAAAGTAGGACATTTATTTTATGTAATATTATATATTATTTTATGCAATATTAATTTAATGTAGTTTGTATAATTTTTAATAAGTGATACTAAATATGGACGAACGGTTAAATGAATACAAATGTCCAGGTGGAGATAATTAAAAATGTTCCTCAACCGAGCAACCCTCTCAAGTCGTTCAACTGGTCGAAGATCCCTGAACAGAAATTACAAGGCACTATATGGTCGGAGCTCGACGACACGAAATTATACAACGTGATGGATCTGGAATCGATAGATAAAATCTTCTGCGCTTATCAGAAGAACGGCGTCTCGGCCGAAGGATCGATCGAGGACCTGAGAACTCTAGGAAAGAACAAGAAGACGATGTCGGTGATTGACTCGAGAAGAGCGCAGAACTGTACGATCCTGTTATCAAAATTGAAGATGTCCGACAACGAGATTACAAGGACGATCCTGTCTATGGATCAGCAGAATATTTTACACATAGACATGGTCGAGCAGTTGTTGAAGTACATACCATCGTCGGAAGAAGCTGCTCTTTTGGACATGCATCAAAAGGATCTTCAAAGCAGAGCCGATTGTTTCTTATACCAAATATCCAAGTAAGTACAAAATTGTTATTTTTATAAATAAAATTAATAAAACGAAATGCATATCAACTGTGTTCCATTAAAGTATTGAAAATTGAAATGCATAAATATTTTAGGGTGCCACATTACGAGCAAAGACTGCGGTCCCTTCATTACAAAAAGAAATTCGCAGCCAGTATCGCGGAATTGACGCCGAGGATGCGCGCGGTCCTCGAAGCTAGCCGACAGGTAGCCAGATCCCGTCGGCTCCGAAAGTTGCTGGAATTGGTCTTAGCTTTGGGGAATTACGTGAACCGTGGGAACGCTCGCGGAAATGCCTGCGGCTTCCGTTTGGCCTCGTTGAACCGTCTAGTCGACACCAAGTCTTCTTGCTCGAAGGGCACGACTCTGCTGCATTACCTAGTTCAAATATTAGAGTCCAGGTTCAGAGAAGTGTTGGACATCGAGGAAGACATGCCTCACGTTCGAACTGCGGCCAGAGTCAGTATGGTTGATCTGCAGAAAGAGGTGGCGAACTTGAAGAACGGTCTTCAAGATGTTCAAAGGGAAATCGGTTAGTTTATATTAAATAAAAAGATTGTGTTTTTAAATTGTCTTTTAGAATTCCATCGGGGCCAGTCTCAGGTGCTTCAGGGTGACATGTTCTTGCCTGCGATGAGAGACTTCCAGGCTCAGGCCACGTGTAGATTAGCCGAGGCGGAGGATCTATTCCAAGACATGAAGACTAGAGTAAGTTTTCAATCATTCATTTAACATTAGAACTATCGATTTGTATTTCTCCACTCAAAACCAGCAATTTTTACTGATTTCTTAGTTCTAATATTGAAGAAATGTTTCTGTATTTAGTTCGACAGGGCAGTGAGACTGTTTGGCGAGGACTCGGCAGGCGTCCAGCCGGACGAGTTCTTCGGCATCTTCGAGAATTTCCTGCAAGCGTTAGCCGAGGCTAGGCAAGACGTAGAGAACATGAGGAAGAAGGTCGAGGAAGAGGAACGTAGAGCGAAACAGGAACAAGAAGTGAATATCCAAAATAAAATTATTTTCTACTTAATTGACTTGAAAATCAAATTTAATCTTTTCTATTGCAGCTTCGGAAGAGGACGATGGAGAGAAAGAATTCTCGCGAGGGAATATTGAACAGCATCTCCCTAAGTAAAAAGAACGAAGCGAACAGCAATGGCCAGAACGACAACAAGGGTGAATTCGACGACTTGATCTCTGCCCTACGAACCGGGGATGTGTTTGGAGAGGATATCGCGAAATTCAAGAGATCGAAACGTAGACCGGTAACGCCAAGTGGTCAGGAATCACGCAGGCACAGCGCGCACAGGGAAGATTCCCGGGAACGGCATTGAATTATTCAGCGATTTTAGTGACTCGAATCGTCACGCGATTATGTGATAGAATGTTGGAGGAAATCGAATCCGTTTAGGAACAGGAGAGAGAATTGAGATAATTACGATAAGTAGGAATTGTGTAAATAGAAAGAAACGAAGACTACGAAGCTTTTTCCTACATTTCTTCAACGATTAGTATTACTTTAGATTCCTGTTTCATTCACTGATACTGTCTTCCTCGTTCTTCGCTCGCGACTTGTTTCGTATAAGAAATTAATTTTAACCGGAGGACAGAGACTCGCGTTGCAGCATATTAAATTAGAATGAAATCAAACGACGAATCACACACGCGATTCTGATGCTTTTTTTAATATCAACTATACGCAACAATCGTACTTTAAATAAGTGAGCGAGCATGAATTCGTATGTCGTTGACAAGTCAATCACTTGATTTGCTGTATATATATTTTACGTTCGTTGGCTAAGGGCAAACGTTCATCGGACCAAGAAGAGGAAAATATTAAAAATAAATGCAACGCGAATCTGACGAAGTAGAATTTGTTAGAATCTACGAAAAGACTTGGACATTTTGTCGACGAATTTGATAATCCCCTTTTGTAACCACGACGTGTATTCACGCGCTTGAACATACCAATAGGGCCTATGGGGGTGCAACTCTATTCCGACCCCTGGAAAACTTCAAGTCTGATTTTTTATTCTTAGAGGAGGGAGAAAGAGTAATAAAATTGTTTAGTGGCTCGGCGAGCCGGTCACGGAATTCGTGTTAGTTCTCGATGTTTAGAGCAGGAATCCCGGAAACGATTTAGAGAAGAGTTCGTTGTATAGTAGTCGATGTTTTGTAAGCTTTTGTATTTTTGTAAATATTAAGTATCGATGTCATGTTCTTGCGGCCCTGCAGGAATTAATGTCCAGTTAATATATTATTACATCTTTAATGTCACATGTATTAATATATAAAGAAATATACCGAATAAATATCAAATTCAAATCCTTAATCAATTTGAATCATTCGTAATCTCCTTCTTATTTCCTTCCTATTAGATTTTTATAAGTAACAAGAGACAAAAATAATTTCTACGTAGCGATTCATATATTACCGCTTTACGATCCCGTTCTCCCAACACTTGTTCACTTATCTGTGTTTTATATGTATGTGTGTGATCCCGTCAGGTGCTGCCACCAGTGCGACTATCTAGCAACGAAAGGTAGAAGTGGGGAATAAACGTGGGTGGGCAGTTGAGCAGAGTGGCACTATGATATATTCTAATTCCGCGTTTTCATATAATCCCGAAGGATTAATTAACCAAATACGTGTATGTAATTTAAAACCTGCATGCGAAGGTATCAAGTATTTCATAAACAAGAATCTATTCTCTGTAACGCGCGCTGAATGAAATAATTTCAATCACCGAAGATTTTCATCTTCAGTGTCATTGAAGTAGTTCTTTATACAAATATTTTCTCTATCTCTTACCGTGATTCACTTGAACAGTCGGAGTTGAATAAATTCGTGCGAATTGTAAGTATGCTAAGATATTTGTATTTATTCTTGAATAAATTTCACTTCGCGTGTAGCGGAACCCGACAGTCGAAGTTCCGTGGCGTAGCGCCGCCAGTGAGTAGGTTGCGAAGCGCATTGTTAGTCAAAACAATCGCCGAAATCAGTATCTATTTTTAAGCGGTGTGCACCGAGCAACGGTACTTTACCATTTTCCGTACTGTGCGAAAAAAAGAATAGACGCTTTCGGTATTCCGCGTGATCGCTTATGGAACATTGGGAAGGTTCAACGACCTCACGGTAATTGTGACAAGAGGCTGACCGGCCATGTTTATATCGTGGTGAATTTTCGTGCTAGCGGCCCGAGTGAGCTACAAGTAATATTCCACGTGCGTTCGCCCGAGACTCGCGTTGTGCGCCCGGAATACCAGGACCACCACGTTGAAACCCGCTGCGAGATGGAGTCCAGCGAAAGGGGTGAGTTTAACGAAATTAAAGCAATATTGAGCCTCTGACACAAATCATAACCTGGGGGCAATGGCAGTGTCAGGGTCGAAACGGAACTAGTTCAGTGACCGCAATCGAGGCACTCGATCGCAGTATTACCGAACGATCATCATTTTTCTAAATATCTTTCATTCGTCCCGAAATCGTTCCGAGTACGATGGCCCTTTTTCGGACAGTCTGTCTGTCAGAATTATTTTCTCATCCGAATCTATGTCATGCGGTTCACTTTTCATCTCGACTGTACCTCCCAGCTACTTTCTGCTCCATTCCGTACGAAAGAACGGACGAAACTCGTTATAAGAAAAATACGTTTCGTTTCCATCAAACGCCGTCTTCTCATGTAAGAATAATTTAGTTGATCGATTCGTTTAAATCGAAGTGTATTTCGGATTTCTTAAAGTATCCGACTGGTAAGAAAGCTGTTCGATCAGATGGCTACGGTCTGCGTTACGCAATAGTGTAACGGCATAACCTACATAATCTCTGGCGTACCGTCGATTGAAGCCATGGTACCGCTTGACAGAGACACGTGAGAATTATTATCGCTTGACCGAGTCCGACGTTTGTCGTAATGTGGCGACACCTGCCGAACGTTCATGCATGCCCTACCCCAAGCCAGCGTGAATTAACCCTCCCCGTCGTTGGTCTCGTTCAACCCCTTCGTGTCGCACCCCATTGCTGCACGGGACGACACAAGGGCGTTTTCTCCCAAAGATTTTACTAGCAAAGGAACACGAAGTCTCGTTCTCCGACTTTGAACGTTCTCATAAATATATTTGCCACTTTCTTTTTTATTTACATTTATTCACAGTGGAGGGGTGAAAACAGCCGTCGAAGTTAGGGTTGTAAAACGCGACGCCTAAGAGAAATAAATGCAGAGTAAACGAGTCGCAGTCGGATTTACAGTAGATCTTTATTAGCAAGTCGAATACAGGAACTCTACTCTGAACTTTGTAATATAGATAAAAATACCTAAATAAATAAATAGATAAACCTACTCACAGTTTTTGTAGACTAATATAATGTATTTATAATTTTTACGTTGAGTGCAATTTAGTGTTGGCACTTGTACTCTAGGTTGGTATCAGCTTAAGTAATAATTACAACTTTAACAAATCAATTTTCGTTTTCTTTTTATAGTTTATAGAAGAATTTTATGAGAATTTTATGGAAGGATTTAAAAAGGATCATTTGGACCATTCATGGTAGGTTTAAGTGTTAAAAGACGAGTATTAAGAGAAAACAGAGAAAGCTTAATCTGCTAATAGGTCATAAAATTACATTAAGAAACTGAGGGCTGTTCTCACCCTTCAATATTAAAATACAAAATCATTTGTATGACATTATGTTTCTATAAAATTTTATCAAGATTGGAGAACGATATGACGACAACCTTGACAATAGAATAATTGAATATAATAGAAATGGAAATATTTTTTGTACAGGTATTGTGTATTTTATATTGAAGTTTATTTCTGTAATACGTATGTATGCTGTTCCGTGAGGATATTTTATCCAGCAGGCAGGCGAACACCTTTGTTTCCACGTTTACTTTCATTCCTTTTTCATGATCCCCCGTCTTTCTTTCTGTTAGATTCTTCCTTATTATGTAAGTCCAAGGACACGCCACACTGCCACGACTGCATTTTTCCCATCTTTCTCTTCCCACTTGATCGTCCCTAACGCCTTTCTCTCCCTCGCTCTATCAACCTGTCCTCCATCTCTGTCTCTCTCCTCCTCTTTATTCTTCCGGTGTTTCACATTCTTCCCCTTTTCTCTCGATTTAAAGTACATTCATCTCTTTCGTCTAGTATCGCCTTATTATGCACGTTTCTCAAATGTTTGCATTTATTATACTACGATTAGCAATGGATTTATCGTTCAGGATGGAACTTGGCTTACGTGTTTGTGTGTGGAATGTGTTTTATGAAGTAAAACAATTTTATTGAACTCTCCCAAGCCTCGTTTCGAGGTCATTTACATACTGAGTGAATAGCATCGAAGAGAAATAACTGATACAGCATTACATTGTCTATCTAGGCCTTGAAATAACGCAAGGTTACGGGTGAAGTTATATAATCTTCCAACACCAGCATGGGGAGCAGTACCTCGAGGTTATCTCCTTCTCTTTAAGTTTTTTATGCACATGCAAAGTCTCGCCTTGTTTTTATTTCATTATTCAAAAATAACAAGCCATTCGTTTTTACTGATATTACAAATATAGAATAAAGTCTGCTCGACGCCGTCGTTCACTTTTCATTGTCCTGCGAGGGACATATTTGAATGACGAGCCGGCTTGCGTAATGTAGAACAGAATGCAAACACGTGACGTTGCATTCGATTAGGCCGTCGTTCGCGGCAATTAGACTGTATCGATTTGCTGAGCGAATTAGGAAACGACGGGCAATCGGCGACCTTGCGCGAGATTACTGTTCGATGGATATCGTACGATTTCGCGATTATGGAAACGACGTTGCGCAATCCCTTTGTTGGAAACGTGGATTATATGACGAATTAGGCGTGGCTGTCATGCAGTTGCGTAGAATCCATGTCTGATCGTGATTTCCTCGCTCGGAGAATAAATGGAACGAAGAATCGAGTTAAACAGGCCGTTAGATTACAAAATATGCAATTGTAGTTTGCAGCTGTTATATAAAATAATTTATATGAATCTCTCGTTGCGAGATTACAGAAATGAAGAAATAGATTACATTTCTTTAGATATGTTTCAAGGAATCACGTTTCTATTGTTTCATGGCAAATAAATTCTCGGCAAGCTTAATCATTGCCTTGCCAGAATGGCATTTGCTTTATACGAAACTATTAATGGGAATAATTCCTGAAATTGAATCATCCCAACTACAGGACACTGAGAGACTCGATATAGATGTGTATATATGTATATATGTATGTATGTATATATGTATATGTATACACAGGCGAAGCCGGGCTATCGGAACGACGAGCGTGCATGTCCTCCTACGCCCACGTGTTGAAATTCTATCTCGTTAATTGGCATGAAAACAGAGAACGGATTCGCCGTTAGCCTGTGTCGTTCAGAATCAAATGCACCCGGCGACGCCGTAAATTGTTCGAGATATCGATGGTCAAGCTGTTCGATACAATTACGGGATCGTGTCTCCGAATCAATTCTGAATTTCGTCGAATTTATTGGCATTTTAAATGAATTCAATTTCATGTAAATCGTTTAATATAGTACAAACACAGTATAAGAAAAAACAGTAGCTTCACTCTGTTAAAAATGTACAAATAAATTCGAAAAAAATNATTTGCAAAAAAGATCGTATACAAGTTTCTTCACTCTCAAATACTTCAGGAGTACTCGATTAATTATTTCATGCATCGTCTAATAATTACTGTTTTTATGTATTGTGCTATGAGACACTCATTCACTTGTATGCATTTAATGGTGCAAATGATAAGGTAATCTCTAATTCTGAAAGTAGGAAATGTAGTCAGAGAAAAAGATGAAGAACGTGTTTAATTGACATGAGTATAGAATTCTGCTATCAAGAATTAAGCTATAAACGAAATGTTTAATGAGATCGTTTATTCCCTCATACGTTTTCGATAACTATACACGAGTCTGTTCCTCTCTCGCGACTTATTCGCATGAAATACGTATAAATAGACCGCCGGCTGCAAGGAGTTTATTGATCGCGATGCATCCAAGGTTTTGCGATGTCGGATCGCGATTATGTAAGGCCACGCGTGCAATTATTACACTGCGTCGTCGAACTGTTTCTTAAAGAAGCCAACAGCCCCTTTCCCTCAACGTCCATTATAGTTCTTATTTCAATTTTTTATTCGGGTGTTAATCACGTGAAAATAACGAAGGAGGGACACTTTTTTTTTGTTTCCCCTCGACCGATTTGCGTGCTTGACCACCGCAATACCTCGACACGTACGCCATGGCGAAAAAAGGAATAATTAATTACATGCATGCTTCAGTCGCGATAAAACGTGCCACCACATTCTTGCTACGATAACCCACTGCGTATGTTTTCAGCGGAATATTTTTATCTGAGAGACTCGTTTCGTCCACCTCCCTTTTCGTTTCCGTTTGTGCAGCGATAGAATAACTGTGCAATTCATTATTTAAAACATAAATCATTTTATTAGACTGCAGGCTTTTAAGCAAATCGACATTTTGGGGGATTTTATAAAACTTCAGTCAGAAATTGTTTTTAATTGTTCTTGCATATTTTTTATACAATTTTTCACTTTCATATCAGTTTTGAAAATTGTAATAAACTTGAAAAGAATCGTTGAACGTGTCTTATTACTTCGAGAAGGAGGTACGTGTTATTCGATGTAGACAATTACAAGCGGCGCGTTGGAACGAGAGGGAACGGCTTCGCGATGCGATACTTTACGTAATTCACCGGCTAGACCAGGGTCATCGTCGATCTCGGTGGTAAAGCTTGGCGTGAGAAAAACACGCTCAGTGTGACTGACACGGTTACGTTTTTCTCTGATCGCGATCACACTTTATATTTCCGCAAGAATAAAACCTGTACATTCCTTTGGAATCTCTTCAATCCGTCTCACGATTCTTTTAAATACATAAGGTTTGCTGTTCGAATCTAAGTCTGAAGGCTGAATTATGGTTGAGGCGTAGGCAGTGTAAGAACAAATATTCTACATTCTTATTTTATTTGTCGATGTAGAATCTCTCACGTTTCGGTTGTACTAGTTAGTGACTCCCACTTAGTTACGATATAAAGAGGAGTTATGTGAGAGGTGGTAAGTGTTAGGAGACTGCGAAACCATTGTTTGCCTTTGCCAAGGCCTCTGAGACGGGCGAGTAGGATGACAATGGTTCTTGTAAAAACATGATTCGCACTCAGAAATGAAATAATCTTACAAATCGAAGAGAATTACTAAACAGTTTAAAAAATATATATATNAGATTATTCTAAAATCCTGAAAGATGTGTAATAAATAATAAAGTATATGAATGATGAAAAAGAATGAGAGACATAATGGAAGTACCTATAAATTGGATATAAAAAGGGGTTGAAAATCGAAAGAGGAACACTGTGTTAAATATTAACTTCCTTTTATTAAATTCATTATTTAAATCATTGCATGAAAGAATTCAGATAGACGATTTTAAACGTAGATCAGTGGTGTGGGTGTCAGGGCATCGATCGTGTTCAGAGTGGCAGGAGGGTGCTTGGGTGGCGTCTCGGTGGGTTGGCAAAGTGCACTCAAAGTTCGTTCATAGAAATAGTAAAGCAATAATTTAGAACCCAAAAATGCAGTATAAAACAATAGTAAAATATTCTTGTATATTTAAAACATTGCAATAATCATAAATTGCAGCGTCTCACTGTTGCAGTTAATTTATGAACACTCTAAGAGAAACGATTCCAATTTCTCATTAAGTTTACATAGCGAGTCGGAAATTCTTTCACACTACTAGTTAACAATAAGATGAAAAAAAACCATAGGCAATTTTTATGTTAGGTAGAGACGCTTTCCCGTCGAAACGAAGTAGTCGTTCAAGGAGTTCAGTCAAGGGAAGTCCTGAAGGTGGTCGTAGGCCTACGAAAAAGAGGCGTTCCGCAATAGATAAAGCTAGTAAAGCCTCAAAGAGGCCGCGTATAGACGTAAGTACTAACGATAAGGAATTCAAGTTCGCTAAAAGTGTCGCCGGGAGGGAAGATTCGCCTCGATTTAAAAACTTCTTCCATTATTTGACTCACGGAGAAGGAAGGGAATGTCTAGAAGTTCTGGAACGAGGAGGAGTAAATTTAGCTAACATGTCCAATATTTTGGGTAAGGCAGGAGCTAGTGCTTCTGTAGCCTTTAAAGGGTTGTACGACGTGTGGTTCGATAAACAAGGAAATAGAACACGATATTTAAAAACTCCAGAAGAAAATGGAATAAAGCTGTCGAGTATGTCCAGTATTTTGGGCAAGGCAGGAGCCAATGCTTCTGAAGCTTTTAAAAAATTATATGACGTGTGGTTCGATAATTATGGAAATAAAACGAAATATTTAAAAGCTCTGGAAGACAACGGAATAAATTTAGCCAGCGTGTCCAGCATTTTACACGGGACAGGAATTAATTCCGCGAGAGACTTCATACAACTTTATAACATCTTTTTCGACGAGCAAGGGAATAAGGGACAGTATTTAATAACGTTAGAAGAAAACGGAATGGGCATAGCTAATATATCCGGTATACTAAGCGGCGCAAGATCTAACGCTCCTAAAGTTTTTAAAGACTTGTACAATCTCTGGTTCGACGCTGAAGGGAATAAAACGCAATACTTAGAAACTCTGAAAGAAGAAGGGATAAACCTAGCTAATATATCTAGTATTTTGAGCAAAGCAGGAGTAAATGCTCCTAAAGCTTTTAAAGATTTATACGATCTTTGCTTCGACGCGACAGGAAATAAGACGTTGTATTTAAAGACCTTAGAAGAGAACGGAATAGGCATAGCTAATATATCCGGTATTTTAAGCGGCACGGGAGCTAACGCTCCGAGAGCTTTCAAAGACTTGTACGACTTGTGGTTCGACAAACAAGGCAATCAAACGCGATATTTAAAAACTCTCGAAAAAGAAGGAATAAAGTTGTCGAATATATCGGGTATCGTCAGTGGGGCCGGAGCTAATGCCCCGAGAGCTTTCAAACACTTGTACGACCTGTGGTTCGACGAACAAGGAAGTAAAACACGGTATTTGAAATGTTTAGAAAAAGAGGGAATCAGTCTGTCTAATATTTCCAGTATTTTGCACGGGGTAGGGACCAATGCTCCGAAAGCTTTCATAGAATTGTACGACACTTTTTTCGATCACCACGGAAATAAAACGCAGTGTTTAAAGAATCTCGAAAAAAATGGAGTCAATTTGTCGAATGTATCGTGCATTTTGAACGGAGCTGGAGCTAACGCTACGAAAACTTTAAAGAACGTGTGCGAGCTATGGTTCGACGCGAAAGGAAATGAAACGCAGTGTTTGAAAATGTTGAGAAAAGAGGGAATAAATCTTGTTAATATATCGAGTATTTTAAGCAGAGCGGGAGCTAACGCTCCCAAGGCTTTTAAAGATTTATACAATCTCTGGTTCGATTCAACGGGAAATAAGACGAAGTATTTGAAAACCCTGGAAGAGAACGGAATGGGCATCGCTAATATATCCGGTATTCTAAGCGGAGCTGGAGCTAATGCAAAGGAAGCTTTCAAAGACTTGTACAATCTCTGGTTCGACGCGAACGGATGTAAAACGCGATATTTAACAACTTTAGAGAACGAAGGAATAAATCTAGCTAGATTATCGAGTATTTTGCACGGCGCAGGAGCCAGCGTAGCGAAAGCTTTCAAAGAGTTGTACGATTTTTGGTTCGACGCCGAGGGAAATAAAAAACAGCAGTTGAAGCATTTTATTGAGAAACGAAACGGGGGAAAGTGTTTCACGTTGTATAATTTATCTGGTATTTTAAGCAAAGCAGGGGCCAAGGCTAAACACGCATTTAAAAAACTGCATAATATTTGTTTCAACGACGAGGGAGAAAGAACGGAATTGTTGGACGATTTCTATAAGGCACGTTTTACGCCTAGTAATTTGTCCTCTTTATTATGTGCTACTGGATCACGTGCTTCCCACGTTTTAAAGAGATTACACAATGTTTGTTTCGATGAGAAGAGAGAAATAACGAGGCTCTTAGGCGATTTCTATAAGGCAGGATTTAAGCCGGGTAATCTGTGCAGCATGTTGAGCGGAGCACCGCATAATCTTGAAGAGTTGCACGATTTTTGTTTCGTCGCTGAGACGAGCGTGTATTTAAATCATTTGTTAAGTGGGAAAGCAGGTTTTAAGCCGAGCAGTTTATGCAAAATGTTACACGGGGCTGGAGCTAATATCTTTTCCGCCATCATAGATTTTCACGACGTCTGCTTCGACGAGGGAGGAAACAAAACGCAGCTTTTAAGCGATTTCCATAATGCAGGCTTTACGCCGAGTGATTTATCGAAAATATTATCCATGGCGGGAAGCAATGCCGCTTATATTTTGAAGAACTTTTACGAAGTTTGTTTTAATAAAGGAAATTTGAGGCACTTCTTGGCTCAGGATAAATATTTTACCCCGAACGATCTAGCTAGGATATTATACGGTGTAGGAATTAACGTTTGTCCTATTTTTGAAAAGTTGCATCGCCTCTGTTTTGATAAGGACGGAAGGAAAACGAAGTATTTAAAGAATCTCATCAAGAACGATCAGCATAAGATTTCTGACATATTACATGAACAAGTTAAGAAAGCTTCTTCTACCTCCTCAGAGTTTCAAGAATAATTCTCGATCTTAATCAATGTCAATGGTTGCATGTGTGTTAAATACTTTAAGAAGAAGGAAACTTCTTATTACGAATAAGTTGTTTTGAAAATGATCGAGTAGAGATATTAAATCTAGTATTAAGTTCGAAGAAGGACCGTGTATGCAATTGGCTGGAAAGCGCAGAAGCTGGAGGGGATGGTGGTCGGGTAAGAGTGAGACAGCGGGGCGAAATGGAGAGAGGGAGCGTGAAAAGAGGGGTCACGGAAGGGGAAGACAAGTGCACACACAAAGTAGACATATAGGTCAATGTCGGGGCACTCCCGTGCACTGTTTAGCACGACTCACCTACTGACCTACTTACCAGCCTCCGCCTTTCGCGTACTCTGACCAGCCTCGCTTAGCTTTCCCGGTTCTCCATTCCACACAGGTGTGTACCCGATTTTCGGTAACGTGAAAATATCCCATCGATAGAAGATATGAAAAAGGAACGATTCAGCTATTCGTGTTTTTTTTAACAAGTCTCTCATTTTGTCAAAATTAAGTAGAAATTGTCCTTCTTCACTCCGTTTAATTTATTTTCGGAAGTATGACGTTACCAGTTTTTCTATTGAGCTACAGGTATTAAATTGATGATCCCGTAAGATCAGATTTCGTGTATTATACTTGAGAAAGGAGAAAACTTGAGAGAGAGTTTCGTTGCGTTAGTAGTTTCGAACTGCTAAACCCTCGGAAGTTCCGAGTCGGAAGCGCACTTTACGTGACGAGCTTCCATTTGTCGATCTCACGGGAATGTCAAGGTTTCTGGGTGCAATTTTACTCGAGGGCCGATTCGTGCTACCGAGTTTTCCTTCCCCGATGGAACTGGAAAATTTTCACAGGTCCATTAGTTGTCGAGCGTAGCAGAAATTGGGTCAAGTGCGAATTTTCAAAGAAATCCGCCAATAGAATTCTCTCGCCGATTGTATTAAACTAGAAGTATACATTTGTGAAACGATCGATCGATCGTTTCAAGTGAAATTATACTATTAAATTATTTACGTGGCAAGATGTATTAGTGTAATCACGTTATCAGTTTACGCGTCGGGGAGTTGTAATATAGGACAAGAATTCATTGCACGTGGCAGTGGAAACAGGAGTACACGAAGCTAACAGTGAATATAGGTCAGCTAAATGAGCCAGGATTATGAGGGATGCGCTGCACGCAGTACGCGTAACGATAATATTTCTCACCCTTCACATCCTCGCGCGTATTTCTTGTTTAAACATTGCCATTTCCAAGGGAAAGTACAATCTACAAACACGCGGTGAATAAACACGACGACCATTGTAATTAGAGTGAAATTCGTTTCTGCGGTAACGTCATACTTTTGCAAAAGTGCAGAAAAGCTGCAGAAAATTCGTACCAATTACTTGAACATATCTTTGATCTATGGAGTTTTTGAAAAATTATGTCTATCATTAGAATTTCTGATTTTGTTTCAATTTTAATTAATCGAATATCTGCTTTTTTGTTACAGGTAAGTTGAGATTTTCAAATGTCCTCAAAACTTGTTCCAATCCGTAAGTACATGACTTTATTAATTAAATAAGATTTTAAGTAAGAAGTATATTTTTTATAAAACAGAAGAGATTAGTTTATATCGCTGGGAATATTTTTATACTTAATCAGAGTAGTCCATGCAATTTCCTGAAGGTAACGCGTACCAATCGATATCATCGCATCAATGATTTCATTCTGATATCTAAACGCTTGCATGAATTAATTCATTAACAGATCTGTGACATGAAACGTTCTAACAAAGTTAATAATAAATCGCGAGTACTTGAACATGAATAACGTCGCTCGGTAGAAGGGTTGCAAAGGCGGCGTTTCATATTTTTATACCCTCTCGCGTCACACCTGCTCGGCGTAAGAACAAACAATAATTTACTTGCGGTTAAACACTTTCTTCGGTTGATTGGCTTACGAGAGAGTCCGAGCCTCAACGCGGTTATCCTTAACTTGGTCAAGGTTTATCTCATGCACCGAGCATAAAATGTAAAATAATAAAAAAAATGATAAAGAAGCAGTCAACTTCTCTAACTGTTCGTTTTAACAGCTACTTAATACCGTCCTTCGAACATAATTTTATGATCGCTGATGTCAACCGTTCTCTATAAAATTCATTGAGAGATGCCAAGAAAAAAAATTGATCGGTTCATTGGCACCTTTTCATATTTCATGCATTTAACACTAGAAAGACTGAAACTTAGTATATACCTATATTGCCCAAAGCAGTAAAAATGACTGCATTGTGAAAGAATAATGTGTAAAGAAATTTGTCTAAAATTAATTTTTAATATTTTTTATATTATTTACAGTCATATAACAAGTTATTAGTTAATGTTAACAATAAAAAAAATTTACTTCACTTGGGAAAAAAAATAATTTATGCATTATTATTTGTACATTTGCCCAAAAGCAGTCAAAATGACTTCCTTGGGCAATCTAGTGTTAAAGAATCGTCGCGATTTATATTATATAGAAGAGTCGTGAATCGATTTAAAGAGCATATGGGATCAACGAACTATTTATACGATCGTCTATGAACGGGTAGTTGAATTCTATTGAGGGAGACAATTTCAGAAGCGTGGCTGATTCTTCCGTCGCAATGCGGTGGTCACGTACATTGTCCTTGACTGGTTTCTGTCTCCCTCCGGCTCCCAGTCGACGTCCCTAACACCCACACCTGATTGATCATCCTTCCTCTCGTTCCTCGTGAACGAGCATTATTTATAGCACGATATAAGTGCATGTACAGCTCCGGCCCGGTGCACAAGAGAGCAAGTGTTGCTCCGTTTGATGGATCACTTCTGATGATCGATGCATCGGGATCGCTCCGTCAAATTCAAAAGTTATCTCGTTTCCGACGTGAAATAAGCAGACTATTCAGGCAAAATATAAACGAAAATAATTATTGCTTATGCTTGTTTAAAATCTATAGAAATTAGAAGGAGGAAAATTTAAGTAATGATATTTATGCAAACAGAAGTCATAAATGTACTGTTATAAAAATTCCTGCGCCTGTTTTAGCAATAATTATTGTGAAATCTCTTCTGTTCCTGAATCTCAGGATGTAATACTGGTATTCTATTCTTAGGCTCGATTATACAACGTATAGGTAACGTGGAACGTGTAACGTAATTTGTACCTCTCCATACTTTAGATCCTCAATTAGTATTCGCGTAGCAAACTTTCTTGGATAACCAAGGAGGAATTCTAACGCGATTTCTATCGATCTGATACTACATACTCTATTTACATTGACGTAACGCTTTGGTAGCATTATACGAAACAATGTGATAGGTATTCTAGTATGAAAATCGGATTCCACTTGCTTGTGTATCTCAGCTTGTTTCAAAATAATCTTAAGTATGAATATCGAATATTTTTTTCGTGCGTTTATGTCGTGGAATTGTGAACTGGAGAAGGTGTTCATTGCCAGGGGGTACGTTTTCTTTTTATCCGAGTAAGAGAATGACGTCCAACAGCGTCGCTTACTACGTTTCAAGGAACGATTAACCCCGAAAAATTGCGAGCTTTCATGAGCGAACAATGCCAGAGCTGATTGGTACTCGCTTTAGAATTAGAACCCGAATTTCGCATTGTGCAACCGGGCCAGCGGCGGAACAGCTGCACCGTTGCTTTCTTCTGCACCAACTTCATATTCGTCCTCTTCCTTTATTTCGTTTTCCTCTCTCTATTCGCCTCGCCACGACTTCCTCCTTATTCAAGTTACGCTTCCTTCGCGCGACGACCGAATGCGCGTTCGTAACTGTCTCTCTTATTTGATAATTGTTCGTTTGTGTCCGGCGTCAGATTCCTATCAGCTTTTTTAACGATCGATCAGTTCTATTAATTAAACAGTTGGAATGTCTGTAAGAATTTTTAAGAATATGCGATTGTTTCACGCGAAGCTGTCGAACGTGTATGGAAATGAAAGAAGAACACGTCTTCTAAAAATAATTTGTTCTCCAACGAGATCGTTAGATTTATATTTTATTTCACGAATACTATCTAGACTTTAAGAATTTTATGTGGATTCGTATAAAAGTGAGAAGTTTAGTTATTCTGATTCGCTAGGATATCCTATGCGTCGTAACTGATCGACCGAAATTCCTGAGGGTTATTTAATTTCGTTGGTTTTTCTGCGACTGCTGGCCAGCCTTCTTCAGGTCTAAAAGGACCATGTAGCATCCCTGGCGATCGAACCGCGGGAGAAACCAGTTCTGGCGAAGAATGTAAACGGAATATCGGCGAGTCCTGTTAACCTTTCCTCGTCCTACTCACCTGTTCGCAAAAACGAGCAAGGATACTGTTGCACCCTTCTGTTCCAGTGTCAAAGTACTTCTACCAACATTCCTCGTCGAGAATTTCTACAGTAAAACGAGAAATGAATAGAATCGAAATAATAATCAGTTTCCATCGTCAAAAATAGGAATTAAGAATTGAATTTATTAATTAAAATTTGCTCTCCAGTGTTTCTATCTCTGGTCCCGATTCGAGTCCGACTCAAGGTCTGTACACAGCGTTACACCGAATTACAAAGACTAATCCAATCTCGCGGAGACGGTGGCATGCATATTGCAAAACTCGTTGGGAACGTGCGCGGGCATCGCCGAGCCAGGTTGGACAGATTCGTTTCCTCGATTCGCCTCGGCGGCGAGCCACATGATAAACATTAAAGCTGGCAAGACGACTTAAACGCATCCGCAGAGAGTGTTCACGAACTCGCGATACCGAGTAGGTGGCTAACCTTGACGACCACTTACACTTACGTCCGTCGACTCGCGTGCGCCAGCGACGTACGAGTTCCAGTAATGGAGACACAGGCTTCTTCGAACATTTACCAATTAATATAAAATACAAATGTATATCAATTGAGACAGATTCAGTCTATCAATTGAGACAGATTCAGTCTATCCATCGTTTTATTTTAACGGCTATAACGAATGTTCCGTTCATCTGTTCCGGCGACGGTATGCACCCTGGCATATGGGCCGGACCGTTTTACTAGAGCGAATGCGAAAAAGGAAGGAGCACCCTTTCGGAACTTCCTGGAAAAAAGAACGAATTGGCGAGGACAACGAAACGGGTGTGTCTAGTATGTTACGTTGAATCGAGGCGAACTTGGAGAACAGGTGCGGTAGGTTGTTCATGGACGTTCCACGAACGACCGCTGCAAACGTATATCTTCTTTTCAGCACCACGCGTTTAACAAAGGAACCAGGCTTTTCGATGTGAACAAGTTTAAAGTTAAAAGCGAGATGATTTTTCATTACATAATAATTTTATCAGTACTAAACTGAATTTATGCGAATTATTTAGAATACGAGATTGAAGCCAGTATAAAAATGTTCAAATAATCGTATCGTAGAATATACTAATAATAATTATAAGTGATCGACGTGGAACGAGGGGTGCGTCACAGCTGAGGTCTCGTATTGCAAAAAGACGAATGAGAAAGTGTATCCTTCGGATGAAATTGGCATGGGACTGTTTGGACCGGCGGTCACGTATCCGTGCAAGCGTCCCGTACTGTTATTGGCTTCCCGCGAACAACAAGCTTTATCAGGCCGCGATACGTAAAAGGGAAACGATCGTTCGCGACCCTGCATTTATCTCTAGCTACGATCTCGCCGTGGTTTGTCGAGTACGGCGCACACCCGACTGATCGCTAATTATAATCATTTCGAGGCGATTTCACGGTATTCTGTTGGTTTCAAGCCGTGTTCAGCACGTGCTAAGAATAAACCTCTCGTGACTTCTTTCGTTCGTTTTCGAACGCGCCTTTCCGAAAACCCTGAATATCCCTGGGTGGGTTTCGCGAGTATAAATCTTGGTAACAGGTCTCCCTATTTCGCTTATCTGATTTGTAGTCGCATGCCCGATGCCACGGGCGTAGTCGGGAGAACTCGTTCCTATAAAGTAACGAGAATTCAAATGAGCGTATTCAATTCTTGCAAATTATGCGAAACCACCCCTGAGCTAATTTCTTAAGGATACGAGAGATAATTGTTTGGCAGAGGGACCGGGATTTTTGCACGGTATATATTTCGGTCACCTGGTAGAGTCCAAGGCTCGCCGCGCACGCTCGACATTGCAAACCGTTCCCCTCCTCTGGTTTTGATGATTTTCCCCACTCCTTCGTCATCGGATGAGCCGATGCAAAGTGGTGGTGGACGCGAAGAGGAGAGGTGGATTCTCCCGTTTCGGCCGTGCACTAGAACTTGACTCCTAAGCTCGACAGTGACGGCGCAAGCTCTATTCGAATCTCTCTCTCTCTCTCTCTTTCTCTCCCTTTCTGTCTTTTCTGCTTTTATTCTCGTTCACCGACATAATCCACCCTTTCCCCACCGATCGCATCTCACCGAACTCGCTCCGCGGGCTCAGAGGTTTCGCTCCGATCCAATCGAGTGTTACACGTTCTCATCGATTGCGAATAAATCGTCTGGACAGTTTCATCCGGCTCCGATTGACCCATTTTCCGAGGAAATCTTTCCATTTTTTTTACTCTACAGATAACTATCGTTCGAGTACGGGAAAACAACAACGTAGGAACGTATGTTCCGTCGGTGAACTTTGCGCCGTCGATCGATCATCAGCCGGTGGACGTATTTCCCTTGAAAGAAAAATGCAAGTGGAGTAGGAACGTTACTCGTCAGACGAGAGACGACTCATTCTCCTTCGTTCTCGCGTCGATCCCCCTACTCCCAGCCAGACGCTACCTTTCCGTCCTCCATCGCCTCCTCCTCGTCCTTCGCCACCCTTGATCCGCCGGCGTCCCTCTCTCGTCTCACCCATCTGTCTCCCACCTTGTGCAACCTTCCTCCGAGCTCTCCCTCCCTTCCCTGCCTCGTCGCCCAGCCGGTTGCACGTTCACATGTAACGAGTCGGACCGGCCGGCTGGCACTCAGTCGCCTTTAGCGCCGTGCATCCTCGAGCCAGTCAGTCAGTCACTCAGTCAGTCAGTCAGTCAGTCATTGAGTCAGTCAGTCGGGCGAGACTACGCGCGCGAAGGAGTACCGTCTCTCGTTCCAATGTATGTAACGCTGTTTATTCAAGGTTTCCCAGCTTCACTCTCTTCTCGTTGTGTTCTCTTATCGCGTGGGATTCGTTCGCAGTGCTCCTCTATTCACGGCACGTGTGCATCGCCCGCGTTCCGTGCATTAGAATCACTCGCTTTCTACCGTTTTTTATTAAGTTCGCCACGTGCATAGAGATATCGCAGTTAGGAAATTTCTGGCAAGGTGCAACGATTCTATTCATTGTTGGAATCATCAGATTTGAATGATATTCACGTTAGCCCGGAGTGTCTCTCTCTCTCTCTTTTTCTCTGAGGAGATTCGACTCTGTTTTTCATGTGCAACCGTGAAGTTCAATGGCGTAGAATAAAAAATGTGTCTTTGTTTCTAAATTTCAAAGCTTATCAGACCCAGGAAGATTTCTCGGTGTGATGTTTCGTCTGTAATTAGATAAGCGTCTATCATCCTTTGTCGTTCGCGTGGTGCAAAAAAAACGCGCGATCGTCGCAGCCTCTTTTGCGTAACAATGCAACGCGACCTTCGGTAAACGAGGAATGCAGCCGTACGTGCCGTGTGATGCTTCCTCGCGTTTCAAAATACGCTGTGCGCGATAGAACTTTTTTTTTCGTTCGGATCGCGTTTGATAATCAATTTAAACCTCGGTTTCGCGATACCTGCGATATTTTTATCGGTGATCCGTTTGACGTGCGACGGATGCCGAACTTTCCCGCTCGAAATGAAAACGATCATCAGCGGGCGGTGTGTTGCATTTCCACTTCGGTGCCAGAGTTCGCGACGCCAAAACTCTCGCTAACGATTGCCGATCGGGCAAAGTATGTATACTGTCACCGAGTGTCGCAATCGAACGTGACTTCTGCTGCAGTCGTTCCTGCGGCGACACGTTATACGATTATTATACTCGTCTGCACGTGCCAATCGGCCGAACTTTGTTCTCCGTTTGAACCGTGTGAAGAAACATTAATCTGTGCTCTTCGACAAGTGCATCGTTCGATCAGATCTATTCGGGAAGCATGGATTCGTTTGAAACGTGTCGTGAATAATTTTAATTACTGTTTTATAAATAGAATTTTAACGAAACTTGAAATGGTACCAGGGGACCTGTTATGAAATTAGTTACGGTCAAACGATGTTTGCATTTTGCTGGTGTACGGGTGCATTGGCTGTGTCCGTGAATCATCGTCCCCTAACTGCGAAAGTGCGCAGTTCGTGCCCACCCTACTATCTCTCTCTCTCTCTCTTTCTTGTGAATCTTCTACGCAGTACGTATGTATTAAGGTCCCGCTGCGACTGCACCGATGCAGCGGTCAACTTTTTGTTACCTTTCAAATGCAGTCCACACATCACCGTTCGTTTTCTCTTGTCTCTCCCAAGCTCGTAAACAAGTTTACGCTCGCTGCTCGTTCCTGATGTACCTCACATGTTTCGCGTAGTTCCCTGGCTCGATAATATCGATCCCCCATCTAGGGTCTTCGCAGTCGTTATAAATTTCGAATTAAACGCATTCCGATAGTTTTAAATCATAGAATTTGTAAAAATTGCATTTTATAGTAAACTGGGAAATGGTTTCGAGTTATTGTCTTGGCCACGAAGTGAATAGAGTTTGCCTTATCGATTAACACTGCGAATGACAATAACGTATCGGGTTCGGTTGTGCTGGGATAAATAAATCATTCGTGCCGAGGTCTTCTTTGTCTCTGCGCCTCCGTTTTAGGAGATAAATCGATGCCACTGTGCTGCACTCGTTCGAAGCCTCTTTAAAAATCCTCGCAGGCTAGAAATCTAAAACGCGTTCCAAATATTCTTATTTTTTATAAATACAAATTCACTTCTTCGTTTCTGTGGTACTTTTTTGTGTACTCGTTTCCATGATCAATTTTATTTGTCACACTGTCAAATTATATCTGCCAATCTGGATTAAATGTACTCTGAGATACGAGAAATAGTGTCTGATCTAACCATTGACTGATTCCACTTGCGGCGCACCCGGTATGTATCGATTCGTCTTCCTCGGTAGACAGGGTCTGACGTAGCTTCGTATAACCTTGAACTTCAACCTCCACTCCGGGACTGCCATTAGAACTGAATCCTCCCACGTTTCCGATCAATCACAGTAAAACGAAATCAATCAAAAGAACCCAGAAGAGCGACATAGAAAAAGAGCATCTACTTCGTTTTAATTCCTCTTTCAAGAAATTCATCGTGTAAATACTGTAATAGAAAGAACGATCCGTTCGCATCTGTCTTACTGTTTATGCAACGACAACTAGATCTCGTTGTGAACAAGCGTCGCCGGCGACTGAACAATGCGTGGCCCCGCGTGACGGGTACACGCGACGGGGAAGGAGAACAGAGAAAAGATGTACCGCTGCTTGCACGCACGTGGACGTACGTTGCATTTTGCATAATTGACCGCGCGCGCGTTACATAAGCATTGTTTCTCGGCGATTGTCGCCGCTGCACAGCCAAGGCAATCGCATTTTGCTGCCTACATGCCGTGGTCAAGGTCGCCCCTTGTAACGCTGCAATTCCTGTTAACCCCGAGACTCCTACGATACTAGTATTTCCTGGACACACGTGTTATTAGATTAATTTAAGAATCTCGTCTCTCGGCTTGCATTTTGTTGTTTTTAAGATTTATTCTTCTCCGGTTTTAAGGATATTTGTTACGATTTATTTAATAAATTTATTGTTATATTTTAACAATTTATTTCATGGCTCGGTAATAGGATCAGTGATTATGTATAAATTCTTATGTACTCGTACTGTTTAATTATTTGAATGCAATAAAGACGTAAAGTTGAAATGGTTCCAAGGCTCGAACCGTAAATCTGGTTCTCTCGCGTTTCTCCGTTCACGAATTTTCGAGGCCGAGTAACTCGTCTGTCTCGAGCACGTAAAAAGCAGGAAAGTCTCGCCATCCAGGACAGTCGGTTGAATTCTTTTGATCTCGCCGCTCGCATTCCAACGTTTCATTCTCATTTGCTTTTACTCTCATTCTCGGTGAACTCAACTAGTTCGTTCCCGATATACTCTTCCATCCCTCGTCGTTTGATTCTCCAGGGAGCGGAGGATTTATTTTTTAATTTCACTCATATTCTCGTTTCGCTCGCCTGATAAGAAGTTCTTCAATCATCAGGAAGCGTTTCGTCTTCCGTTACGCGTCGTAGGCACGTCCTCAAGGAGAAGAGTCTCATTTTTGCGTTCTGCTCGTGTTGCGCCAACGTAACTTGTATCGTCCATTACGCTGTTCCAGTGGAAAC